ATAGGGACTGATGTATGCGGAAAGAGCCTTGGCGGGGAAGACCCGGGGATGTGACGCGGGTGGGTGCATTCGTGCGTTTGAGGTCTCTCTCGGAGCAGGCATGCGTAAGATTTGATGCACGCTGACGATGGTCTAGTACTCGATTTATACCGGGAATCCTGCTTAACTAGCCTAGCTTTTCTGAGATTCCCTTTGGTTCCCTGTCAGTCAAATCAAGCATTATAAATACATTTCTCTTATTTTCAAACTTAAATGTACTCTTTAAACTTATTCTGTTTGGTAGTAACTTATCAGTATTACTTACTTGTACAGTGCGTCCCAGAAAAAAAGAAACCGAGAACTATCGATGTTTTATCATAATTTAGTCACATTTATAATTAATAAATGACACATATTTGGAGAGCTTATAATATACTCCTCTTTCATTTGATGTAACTCGTATAATCCATATGTCACGCATGAGTGATTAAAGGGACTTTGTAACATTGTTCAGATGAGAGATAGTGGTGCAAAGGTAGTGACTTCAATGCTAGATGTACAATTAAAGATAATCTGAAAATTTGAGCGAAAACGGACCATTATACATGGTACAAATTGGAAAAAACTGATCCGATCGATTCCTTAACCCTAATAAGGCCGGGCTATTTGAAGTCTTACTACGGCCGGGGGGGGGGGGGGGGGCATTATGCCCCCCCCCCCCTAAGATCTCGGCCGTGAAAGGGCCGATCTCCGCGAAAATTTGCACGCATGTCAGGTGAAGTGTACAGAACAATATGATAATTTCAATTTTTTGAAAAAAATCACTCATTTGCATATTTATGGTAATTTATGCAAATAACGTCATAAAATCACATTTTTACCCATAAATCATATCTTATTCGAATTTAAGCATTCTTTTTCACTACATATATTCATAAGACCATTTGGAACAATAATACGACAAAAAAATTTGGAAGAGCCAGCTTATTTCTTATGTTATCTCTTGTTTTGATAATTTCTTATGTATTTCATTGTTTTTTTAACTTATTTATGTTATTGTTTTTTGTTTTTTTTTCTTCTTCCTACAATTCAACTATTTTGACTCCCAAAACAACCACCTAAACTTTAAACAAGACCCAATAACCAATGTTTGATCTATTTTTAGGAAAAATGACATTCCCATATGTTTTGTACACAAATCACAAAAATGAGCGATTTTCGGGCTGACATGCAAAGACAAAAGGTCACGTGACCTTGTAACTATAGGTCAGATTTTTTTTTTTTGATGCGCAAGACTCTTAAGAAAAAAGTCAGCGAGCGGCGAGGCGCCATCCACATGCGTTCTCGAACAATTAGAAAAATCGTGGAGGGGGGGGGGGCATAATGCCCCCCCCCCCGGCCTTATTAGGGTTAATTCTCCCAACTATATTATTATAATTTTATTACATTTTAGGTGAATGGAAATCTCACAAAGCAATACAATGGCTCTACATTCCATTCCAGACATTTAAGTGTTGACAGATTTTTTATAGCCTGTTTTTATGTCTTTTTTATGGAAAAAAGGTTGGGAAAATTCAAAAATGGTTTGGAGAATTTAGATTCAGAAGCGCCGCACATCGACGCCCGTTCGAAAACCCGTTGAACTTTGTTAAAAATCTTCATATTGCGTGAATTAATTTCGGATTTGGAGCATCGTAGTTGGATAATCCATACATACAAACATAATTTTACGTGTTTTGCATCCTGATTCAACAGATTTGTGAAATCAACCATCACAATGTTACTAAATACCTTTAAAGTGAATTTGAAAAGAGGAAAACAAAAAGTCATTTGGTGGACGGTATCTGAATTTCGAAGAGAAAATGACATTTCTAAAAAGATGGGTTACTGCCCTTTCATATGACACCTCAATCATGAAAAATGAGCAAGGAATGACAAAGTTTTGTTTGATTAAAGTAGTGCTTGCATTTCCATAATGTTATCAAACGAATTCGCTTTCACTGGCTGTCTGCTATAGTAACAACCGGAATTAACAAAAGACTTAAATCCGTTTCGTTGACAATCAGCCATGCATCAAGATTTTCGTCTACGGCTGATTGTCAACGAAACGGTGTTAAGGCTTTAGTTAATTCCGTTTGTTGCTACAGCAGACAGCCAGTGAAAACAAATACTGTCCGCCAAATGACTTTTTGTTTTCCTCTCTTCAAATTCATTTTAATCACTTATGCGTGATTATACGAGTTACATCAAATGAAAGAGGAGGATCTAAGCTTTCCAAATATGTGTCATTTATTGATTATAAATGTGACTAAGTTATAATAAAACATCGATATTTCTCAGTTTCGTTTTTTCTTTTATTTCTTGTAATACTGTAGGTTTATATAAGTTTTTAAAATGTTGGATATTTGAGTGCATAATGATTTTAAATCAGACTGGACATGTATCTATTGTACTTAGCCTGACGTTGCTGACGAGAGATTCACACAACCTTAACTCGATTGATGATCAAAATTGATCAACGGAACATTCAATATTTGTATACAGTAATATTGTTAATTTTTATTTCTGTACTTGTTTGTCCATAGGAGCCAATCGTGTTGCTGTCGTCGTTTACTCCATGACTAGTCTTCAACAGTCGGACAGCAAAGATGCAATGAGGTTGACCTTTATAAGAAATCAGCCAACCACATTTGATTGTTCCAAATGTGTAGTTCAATGCAACAACCTACTTACAATGGACACAGACTACCGACATCAGCTCATTTCGTTCCTCATCGAAAAAGGTGGAAGAATTAAAGACGAAGAGTACTATGATAATGCTGTAGCATTGCTCAATCATTCTGGACCTTACAATTATAATACTTTAAAGTTGTCAGGGGATCTGAAAACACCATTCCCTTATACTGCCTTTAGATCACTGAATGAGCAGAGCGTGAAAAGCATCCATCACTACAAGGCTGTTCTTGTACTTGTTGACAAAACGGATTTCGAAAATGAATTTAAGTTTGCTGACCTAACTACAGCTTACAGTGCAAAAATAGGTATGTTTCAATGCTATTAATTTCATACTTATATTGCCGATGATAATGAAAATGATAATGTTATTGATGATAATAGTAAAAATTTTCCCCCACAAAAAGAGAAACAAATAAAGATGTAATTATATTAAATAGAAAATATTGCGATTGTATCCATTGGGATTCCGGCATATGATCACAGGTGGGGGAGGGGGGGGGGTGTATCAAAGCTTCATGGCCAAATATCAGCCACCCTGTATTAAAAAAAAATGTCATTCCCTTTGGCTCGTCACGTTTGGGTCGGATTATCAGTTTAACAACGAAGTGTCGGGTAAGTTCAAATTATAAATTTTCTCATACAGTAGGATTGCGGGTGCACAATGTGAGAGAGAGAGAGAGAGAGAATTAAGGAGTCCTGAAAAGGAATCTCGGTAATCTTTCTTTGGGGTTTGTAGTCCTGAAAAGGACTGTTTGCGTAGTCTTGAAAAAGACTGTTGGTTATCTTTCTTAGCTTATAGTTCTAAGGAGAACCATAGCGCTTGGAGAGAATGAGTGGCGGGAGTGGCTCGACGGTTCGAACAGTTTGACTATCCGTCGTCAGGAGTGGAGAATGGGGACTTTTAGATTTGCACGTTGACAGCTTTGACTGCAACGTGTGACGTCATTTTAAGGCACTGCGCATGCGTTACGAAGTCTGAGTCGGCGATCGAGAATGCGTCAACCTTGATTTTCCTAAATCTAGTACATACATACATACAAATTGATATTTATATAGCGCCTTTACATGCTCAAGGTACTAGTATGCCGCGTGCGCATAAAATATACAGTTCCTCAGGTAGACAAAGGAACATCCCTTCCCTGCTATTATGTAAAAATGTGTAGAACAGGTGTCACATGCATATTCACCTGTTCTACATATTTTTTTTACATATAGCAGTGAAGGGATGTTCTTTTGTTGAGGGAAGAATGAGGAACTGTATATTTTGTCCTCTTTCTTTGTCCGTGATATTCATAATGTTACTTCCTGCATGCATGTATATCGTCGAGTGCAATCTAATACCCCATTCACAGTGGTTTTGAAATTTGTAGCGGCGTTGTAGCGGAGCGGCGACACCGCCATAACACCGCTACAAATGCATTCACAGTAGAAAAGTTATCCCGCTGCAGCAGCGGGATAAATATCATGTACCCATTAACGCTGCAGCGGGTGATTTTTATTACCTCCGTAACAAACACGTGTATGCATGGCTCATGACCCGCGAGTGACCCCGATATGAGTTGCTTTTTGTATCCTCGATCATATTACTTTTTAAAAAACTAGCATTTTTATTGCTTCCAGTCAGAATATTTTAATTTTTTGAAGTGTGAAATATTTTTATTTGGATAATTATAATATCTACATAATAATAAAATCAATTTGAATCCACTGGTTACTTTATTTCTATTTCACTTTATGTTCCCCATTGCTGGAGAAAAGAGGTCAGTGATAGGTAAGTAAACAAATCACACGTGTTTGTCGCGGTGTTATGGCGGAGAGCCTTCACACTGAGTAAACACCGCGACAGCAGCGGGACTGTCCCGCTGCTGTAGCTAGGCGAACCTAGCGATAGTTTGTCGCGGCGTTATCGCGAGGCGGTGTTATCCCGCGATAGTTTATAACGGGTCCGAGCCTTCACACTGAAGACAACACCGCGACAGCAGCGGGACAGTCCCGCTGCTGTCGCGGTATTTGAGGCCACTGTGAATGGGGTATAAAAGATTTCTAATTGTAGTTAACATGGGCAGTTAAGTACGTTGACACGCATGATCAGTCGGCGTTCGTCGTGTTCTCGTCCACTCATTCTAAAAGTCCCTAATAGCTGGCGTGCGTGAGCTTAAGTCACCGGGGTGCGGACGTCGGGGAAAAATACATGATCGTGTGCGTTTGAGTCATCGGTGAGTGGACATGGATGGTTTGCTGGTCCGTCTGACTGTCCGTCTGGGCTGGAGTCTCCGGGTTACGGACTAAGTAGAGTTCCGAAACCAAAAGTGGGGTGTGCTGTCGGCGAGAGGCTGTGTGTGTGTCCCCCGACGTAGGCGGCGCTGTAGTCTGCTGTCGTCTGCTGTGCATAGTAGTTGTGAGGCTGGCGGCTGTTTTGAGGGTTCTGCGGGTGGCGGTGACCAAGTACTTGTTGATGAGAGGTTTCCAGATGTCGTTGATGTATACATCCTGGGCTCGGTGTTGTGGCGGTGAATTTCTATGGCTTCTTGGATTCGGCGTGTATGCCAGTGCTTCATTATGGAGATGAGATGATTGTTATCCCATTCGATGGCGTGTTCGTGTTGCTGGGCGTGTTTGACGATGGCGGACTTATCCCAATCACTGAATCTAAAGCTGGTTCTGTGCTCTTTGAGTCTTGTTTCCAGAGTTCTCCAATGTGGACTTTTCCACATTCGCATGGTATTTTGTAGACTCCAGCTTTCTTGTGGTTTGGATGCTTGTCTATGTGGGAGTGGAGTATCGAATGGAGTTTGTTGGAGGAACTGTGTCGAACTTGGATGTCTGATGCTTGAAGGATACGTTGAATCTTGTGAAAGGCTTGACAAATATATAGAGAAGAACAACAGTTTGCTTCGGTGGTGTAGCCGGGTATGGTGGCTCAATAACCGGGTATGGTGGCTCAATGGTTAGAGCGTCCGCCTCATGAACGGGAGGTCGTGGGTTCGATCCCCGGCCGAGTCATACCAAAGACTTATAACACTGGGACCTTCTGCCTTCTAGCTAGGCGCTCAGCATATTAGATTGGAGAAGGGTAATAGTAACATGTTATGTTATGCAGGGCCCGCTGGGAGAGCAGTTTTATAACTGAAGTGGCTACCCTGGGTAAATAAAACGTTATTATAATTATTATATTATTATTATTATTATATATTATTATAGCTGCAGATTGTTTCTCTTCAGTGGCGGGGTTGTATGCGGGCTTGCTGGCGGGAGCCTTGGATTTGATCTTATGTCTTGGGTATTTCTTGATGCTAGTTAGGGCTGTGGTGACATGCTGGATTTCCTGGACTAGATGGTCTGCATCGCTGAGTTGATGGGCTCGGTGGATGAAGGCGTTGGGGACTGATTGTAGTACGAATATATGGTGGAAGGATCTGTAGTGAAGATATATATCGGTGTGTGTGTGGGTTTTGTAGACTTGGTGAGTGGGCTTGCCGGATTGCGATTTGGTAAAGAGAACGTCTGGGAAGGGGATGCTGTTGTTTTGCTCGGTCTCCATGGTGAATTTGATGATCGGGTGATGCTGGTTGATGTGGGCGAGGAAGTGGTCTAAGTCACGTCTGCTATGTGGCCAGATGACGAATGTATCGTCGACATATCGGAGCCAGAGAGAAGGGCGTTGTGAGAGAGTCTGGAGTGCCGTTGTTTCGAAGTGCTCCATGAAGATGTTGGCTATAACTGGTGAAAGAGGCGATCCCATGGCTGCGCCTTGAAGTTGCTGGTAGTAATTATCTCGCCATTTGAAGGAAGTTGAGTTGAGGTAGAAGTACATGAGGTAATTTATTTCATCCGGTGTCAGCGGGGTTCTGTCGGGGAGGGTGTCAATTAAACCAGTTTGTTTCAATGAAAAGGGCGTGGTTATAGGTCAACATTCCAAATCAGAAGGAAAAAGTAAGAACAATTAAAGAGAAAACAGGATAGGGAGGGGGTAAAACATAAAACAGAAGACGACAGACGACTTTCCTCCCATATTCCCTTTTGTCTCATTTAACCCATTCTTTATCTTTCTATCTCTATCCTCCATTATCTGATCCATCAACATTTTTATGATACTCATTATCTCTTCGGCCCGAGTTCCATCCTGCATTAGATGTATTCTTGATAGACAATGGCTATATCTTCTTAGAACTATTATTTGGCCCCTTGTATCTCACTTGTATTCCTCCTTCCCCTTGCTCTTCTCCCCCTGCTTCCCCTCTCTAACCTCTCCTGTCCTTCCTCTTATCTCACTCAACACCCTTTATGATAATCATTATCTCCTCAGCCCTTCCACTATCATGCATAAAATGTATTGTTAATAGAAAAGGGTTATATCTTATTTGAGCCTTATTGATCAATATCAATTAATGACTATATTATGATCATTAAAGTTGTGATAGCTTTTACGATTTATTTAAGAACAAGGGGCTAAGCAACATTAAAACATGTATAATATAAATGCTTATTTATACTCAGCTGGTATCCTTTTTTATAATTTGAATCAAGCTCTCAATGTAATTTACCATTATATCTTACTTGCTAAGTTGACTAGGTTTGATATTCGCTGCATTGTACTTAATTGGTTGCAAGATTATTTATTTGATCGTTTCCATTATACTGTTTATTTAAACAATTTTAAAATCTCCATTAGAGGGTGGAGTTTCACAATGGGATACATTCTGTTTTTGACTTATATAAACCATTTAAATAACGTTTCATAATTTGTCAAGTTGTTCCTCTTTACGGAATGTGCCATAAAGCCTAAAACCTAAACAAATGTATATGAATGGACGACTGCAATATCAGTATACAGATATTTAATCTTTTACTACACATACAACAACATAACTTTAAACACCATGAATAGTTTAATGCCCCCGAATAATTGAAAAGGGAAAACAAAAAAGTGTGCCAATATAAAAAATAAACGCATGATTGAAAGTTCTCGGAAGATAATATTCACAAAGCATTTGACAACCACCCTTTCTTTGTATTGGTCATTAGCAATTCCTGGGTATCCTGGATCGATCACTTTCATTTTCCATGCAATACTTTTAAGTATATTTTAGTAAGAAATCTTAGCTGAACAAATCTGTCTGAGTCCATATATTATCGTCGGCCTTATGCCAAAAGGGCCTTAACTGCTTTTGGCCATTCTGAGGTAATCGCGTTTAAAGGTTTTGGCCTCTCTGACAATCAAAAGTTTGTGGTCGTTTTTTTGTTTTTGAAGCCAATTTCGATAAATGTGTTAAATTATTAAGTTTTACATGATATGTGTTAAATGTGTTATAAAATATTCAGAATTGTACATGCTATGTGCAAAAAACATGTTAGGGCCTTTTTGGCATAAGGCTTGAATGTAGCGTATTTATGCCAGAAGGGCCGTAACCTACTCGGCATTATGCCAAAAGGGGCGTTACCTACGCGGCGTTATGCCAAAAGGGCCTTAACCTGCCGTTATCGTACACGTATCTATGCGCGCGTACGCGCGCATAGTTAGCGCCCTTCTGGCATAAAGAAATGTTCTTGTTTCGCAACAACTTTGGTTTGCCAGAAAGCCCCTCTTACGGCTATTGGATCACGAAAACTGATAAAACTGATCAATTAAAATGTTAGAAAAAAAATATTTTTGATATCTGAATATTTTTATTAATATAATGCAGCTTTCGGTAAAGTTATTTTTTAGAGATCGTACATTTAGGACACCTTTTTCGTTGTTTATTTTCATTACAGTCCCATACGTTGATATCTGCGTATTTCAACGAGTCGGTCGCATTTTTTATGCATCCACACCTCATTTAAATCTCACTCAGATGTCATGATCTAAATTCATGATATATACTTTCAGTGATTATTTTAAGTACATTGTGTCTATTGTAGACTAATCATGTTTTTAATGGTGTTTCTACTGATATTTATTGAATTAAATGGAAATTACGAAATAATCTGTCATTGATAAAAGATTTTCCGTGTAGGTTAAGGCCCGTTTGGCGTAAGGAAGAAGATGGGATACGCGTTAAGGCCCTTTTGAAATTCATAATTATCTTCATAAATAAATCGAATTTCAACAAGTGAAGCACATCATTTAAAAGAGAATGATGAAATCTACAAGGTGATGTTAATAACTCAATAACCCCCAAAATCGGGTTAAGGCCCTTTTGGCATAAGGCCGACGATATATAGTTTGATGTACAAACCATGGGATGACTTTATAATTAGGAAAGAAAGATGGTACAATGAAATTATCGTCATCCCTCAGAAAAAAGAATTGCAGGAGGCCCTCATGATTAAACCCTTTTTAAAATTGATGTTCAGTAGCCTGTAAATGTAACAAACGACATATATTTTCAATAAATCGTAATATTGAGCAAAGGATAATGAAATGTAATAATGATTTAAAAAATATCATCTAAGATATAAAAATGAGGGCCCTACGATTCTCGATATTTCTGCCGTATATAGATGTTCAAAGAGATCGTTCATGATGGAATAATTCTTAGAATTCATAATACTATATTATAAAAATATTAAAGGGAAAGTTGAGTTCTTGTTTAAGACCGCAAATGCCTTAAAAGTGCATGGTTATATTGCTTTTATTATTATTAATGACATATCTAGTTCATTCAAATTTAGCTACACTTTTTAAAAAGCATGGTGACCGTAAATTAATCCAATTTTCAAGTTTTCAAGTTTAAGGTTCCACATTTTACAGAAAATATAAACATACATATGAATAAAACAATTATACGTTACAATTGAGCACATGTTAATGATTCTAAATTCATATAATACATGAGATAGAATGTGAGGAACCTATTAAAAAGCGGGGCTTGTATAATAAAGGTTCCTGGAATTAAAAAAAAAAGTAATGTAGATGAAAAACAATAGCAGTAGAGAAACACGTAATTTAGAGGGGAGAATTTAAAACACAATGAAATAAGGAAATGTGTATATAACATAATGCATTTGCACCAATACCAAGCGTCACCCGGTTACAAAGCGTATAGTCAAAATGCGTAGTCACCCGAGCAATCTAGTTGGTATAGCACAGAGTAATTCGTTTGTACATGTAAACATTATATAATAATAATAACAATACACGGGCCGGCTGATTGTGAATATTATAACTTACAAAAAGAAGCCAACATCGGCATTGGTTGGAATAAAACGAATAAGGCGCTATCTCGTTGTTTTTTTCAACGGCTGGTCCAAATTATCTAATATTTGTGGTGGCACACAAATATTAGAATTGGTTATATATTTATGGATATTTCAGCCGTCTCTGAACCGATTTTGATCAAAGAAGTTCTGTCATTTAAATTGTATGCTCTTTCAAATGTGACTCTCAGTTTTGCATTATCTATACAAAACAAAATTGTTCGACGCCCTCTGCAACAGAAATCAACTATCCCTTTAAGTTCGTTGTAATATGTATGCATATAACTTTTCATGCAAATCACAGTTATTATTGTTTGTTTCTTTGTAACGTTTATATGTTAATTTATTGTATTGCGAAAAGGGTGTATTGTATCTTACATTTACATGGTCAGATATTTGGAAAACATGCATACACAAAATCAAATAAAAACTTGCGGGTTCCTACATAAACACATACACATTAACATGACTTATTCACATAATTGCGACTTATTGACATTACCGTTTCAACTAGGTATTTTGTTTATTTTGCAAACGAGTATTATTTTTCAACTGTTCAGTATAAACGTTATGCTTTTTTATGTAAATATGTTCATGATTATTCAGGGCCCCATGGAAGACCACTACTTATTGGTGAATGGGCTACCCTGTCAAAAGATTATAAATAAATAAATAAATAAATAAACATGGTTGATGAGATTTCTATGATACTGGCAACCATGTTTTCGCTCTATTTTACCCAATTACAGAATAAACATTACAACTGTGCACGCACAATACAATCCGAAGTTGCCTTTCGTTGTCGTAAAATAAGGCCGCCCTTATCAATCCCTACCAATCAATATAAAGTTGTGTATGATACTAAACGTAAATGTTTTGAACCTTAACATGAGAGAGAGAAAGAGAGAGAGAGACACACACACACACACACACACATATATATAGAGAGCATTATTTTCACAGTGATGATTCTTTTAGTACATTTTCACTGAACATTTATCAATCTGACAACATAATTATATTATTTATAATTTATCGTGTAGAACCGAAAGGACATTTGGGCTTGCTGATAATGAAAACGACGGACGAATCTGGTAAGTATGAATTTATAAAAGTGGCTGCGAAGTTTTCATAATAACACTAAGCAATTTGTTTATATAAAACAAGGCAATTTGCGGCCTAGGTGAAGTCATCGCTCGGGATATTCTGATTGGTCGGTTAACATATTTTGTTATATAATGTACCTTCATTCCGCTGCGCCTGCTCTATATTGTCTATTTAATCATAATTATTCATTTAAAAAATGGTGCGTGCATCCATAATGAACAATGCAACTGGTTGATCCGATCTTTGATTTTCATCCTTAGAATCGCTCATTTTGCATAATCTGTATTTCATTTAAGTGATGAGATTTTGATTTTCGTTTTGCCAATGAATACCAATCCTTTCCGCAAAGTGCTTGGAAAAGATATTAAGGTGTGCATATTGGCGAAGAGAGATTGCTTTTCTTTGTAAGTCTGTGCTAATTTTCACCATTAAATTACATTGGCGTTAACAACAAATTATCATCTGTAGACAGATTTGATATGGTATCAAAATGGTGAGAGATATGGAGTAGCTGGGATCGGGTACCAA